GAACCTAATTAAGGTGACTCTTTAATAAGATTGATGATTGATTAATGGTTGCGGTAATTATTATGTGAAGAAATAAATAACCATTAATTGTAATAATTAATGTTACATAACTGTTTATAGAGATGGTAACTTGCGAATTACTTTAAAGCTAGATAATATAGATTCTCCAACTAGCCAAGGAAAGCGGCCACACGATGCGTCGTATCATGTCGTTCGTTCGACGTCCAGTGCTGGACAAAAGCCTACCCCAAGGATCTCCTGCGCCGTCCGCATCCAGGCACCTCCAGCGACCTTCACCAGATCGTCGGTCCACCTAATGGGGGGCCTAGCCCAAACTATGTCTTCAGGCCCCGGGCCGTGGTCGAGAAAACTTTTCAGGCCCAGCGGCCATCAGCTGTGCGAGGTATGTGTTGTATAAAGACTACTTAAGTATTATGCAAATCGACTTGTTATGAATTTCGAGTTATCTACATATCTGTCACGTCTCAAAAAATCTAATAAAACGCTTAAAAAGGTAACATTGTCAACTGAAGTCAAGATTAGGTACCTAAATCTTATTTATCCGGTAAGTCTAATGAAAAAATGCTTATAAAAATAAGTAATTAAATTAATTCGTAACCCAGACACAATAAAAGTTTAATTGTTATGACGGCTATAGCAGTTCACTGTCCAGGAAAGTGTTAATTAACTATTTATTAGCTAATTGCCAGGAAAATTCTTGCTAAATGCTTTTAGAAACCTAACTAATAACTCACTATCAAAACTAAAGCTTATACATGATTAAAATAAATAAAATAATGATAAAATTAAAGATACTTACATAAGCTTTTAGAAACCTAACTCACTATCAAAACTAAAGCTCATGCCTACATGATTAAAATAAATAAAAGAATAATAATTAAAAATACTCACATTCAAAACTGTCGGGACCAAAATGGCGAAGAACGCAAGAAGACCCATCTTGACAGAGGTCGTGAACCGTCTGATCAGAATCGCCGTGATTGTACAACTTAGAGCTTCTAACAAACTTGTTTACACTCCACGACACGACTTGGTTCTACCAGTTCTACACTAATATCTTCTTCTTGTCGTGTCGACAACAAACCTACACAGTGTCAGCTCAAAAGTTTTGAGTCAAAACTCTGCTACAAGAGTGGCGTTGTCAGTAGCATTAATTAAATTTTCCTGCGTGCATTTGTTGTTACACTAATAATAAAAAGCTGAAGAGTTTGTTTGTTTGCTTGAACGTGCGGATAACCCATTTATTGAAGGCTTTGAAGGCGGGCAATGAAAAATGTTGCGAAAACGGGAAAAAATATTCCAATGATTTTCTTTCACGCGTACAAAGTCGCAGGAACAACACAACTAGTTTACAATAAGTAGATACCTAATCAATTATTATTGTTTAAGTTTAATGAGACGACCGTATTTACAAGAGATTACAATTGTTTTAGAATGATGTGGATGATATTGCAAAATCAGGAATGGTCAAGCGAAACGAATTGCGAAGAGCAATGTCATTTCGTTACTTGCAAAAAAAATGGTTTACCTATTGTAACTCCAAACAGATATTGATTGAAGAATTAATTAAAAAATAGTAAATGCTTTTGGAACTGAGCTTAAAACAAACCTGCATCCAAACCAGGTGTGCAGACATAACTGGACAGAAATCATGTTACTTATGCCCTTTATAAATAAAAGCTCAGAGTTACGTCATAGTTTCCATATATGAACAGGTTGGGAACCTGAAATTGGTATGTCCTCTTACGTAAAAGCAGATATTTTTCTTCTTTTGTTGGTAGTTTTAATAATGCATTTTGAAGCAAAATATACTAAAAATCTTGAATTACAACTCTCCTTTTCTCGCGTTTGAACTAATTGAAAGTGTAAAATCGTTGTGTATAAATCTTTTTATTATCTGGTGTGACTGGTTCGTGTTTTGCATCTGCAATACGTCATACAAAGGCCATACATTCAAGCTGCAGCCGCAGAATAACAACAATATAAAATATTTGCATTTTTAATGATTGGAAAAAGCATCATTTGACCTTGAAGTTTCGTCGATTTTTCGATACGTTATTATTTCGGAGAAAATTTTAAAAAAGTTACCTACTATTTATTTATCATTGTATAGGCCAAACCATCCATTTGCCTCTGGTAAATTAGACCCTCTCTAATTTCGCGCTTCTGCAGTGGAGATTAAATGCTCTTAAGATGATAATGACTACTTAACATTACTGGGATTGTTTATAAAAGGCAATAAAAATAATATCAATAGGCAGCTTTTAGCTTGATGGAAAGTTTTCTTTAATAACTTAACGTAAATGGGTTTTCCCCTAATACCTCGTTAAAAATAGAGCACAACAAAACCACAGATTCAATCAAACCGGTTAACTTAAACTGGTTTATAAATCTTATTTCAAAGTGTAACAGCTTGTAACAGTGTAAAAAATATTGAGGTGTGTACCAGAAATAGAACTAAGTAACTTTTATTGCTCTAAGATAAAGCGGTTTTTTCTTTGAGTCAAATGGCATGACTTGTCTTAAAAATATCAGAACAGGTCTTAGGTTTGGAGACCACATCTCTGGAAATGTAGTATAGAACATCCCCGGCTAACTGGACCGACACTTTAAAAAAATAAGCAGATAAAAAAAGCCAGAGATAAATATTGTTCTGTGGTCCTTTAGAAATCGACACCAAGTATTCTTCTGAGATTCGAAAAAAACTCTTTTAAAGCTAGAAATAGTTTATTTGATATCTTATTTTATTACGTCCATAAAATAATCTCTCGATTTCAAATTAGTATTTGTACTTTTGAGATTCCGTCTTTTACACAACACTGCAAATGTATTTCGATTACAAAAAAATACTTATTTGTATTTTTCATTCACGTCTTGGAAAAACTTTATACATGTTATCATTTCCTCTCTAAAAAGGGTAATTTGGGAATTTCTCCCAACCTTTGGGGTGAATGACTCTGACATTTTTATTGAATTTGCTAATCTCTGCCACTTCTTCTTTGGTGAGCTCGAAGTCAAATAGGTCAATATTCTGAGCTATACGTTCTTTGTTTGCTGACTTGGGAATAGGAACAAGGCCTCGGTCAACCTGTAGATAAAAAGAAAATTAATTAATAATAATTTCTAATTTTCATAATTATTATAAAAGATAAAGACTGTACAAAGAGCGAAGATAATTTAAAACTTATAAACATCTCATTGGGAAGCAATCTAGATTGATAATATTAATATTAAAGAACATAAAATAATGACAATATAATAAGCACATTGCGATGCAGTTGGTAGGTATCATGAAAAGAAGTTTTTAATAATCATTTTTGAGAAGACTTGAAACAAATGATGAAGAATAAAGTTATGTACTTTACTAACGATTTTCAATCGTTGGATAACTTTTAACTGAAGAATAAGTTTGGCACATTGACAGTATGCCAAACTTATTCTTCAGTTAAAAGTTAACCAGCGATTGAAAAATCAGCCCCTAATACTGATTCAAAAAGCCGGTTAAAATTAGGTAACTAGAAAATTCATCAAATTACCAGATATCGCAACACGATCTGAGCGGTGTTCTTGCCATACTTCTGGGCGATCCTGACCAGGGTAGGATCGTCTACCCTGGGCGGGGGAGCGTCAGCCGTCTTCCTGGTGACGAGGAAGCCGAAGGGGCTGTACGCCATCACGGCTATCCCCAGACCTTGGCAGTGGGAGACCAGGGGCTCTTGGGTTAGCGTTGGGTTCACCTGGAAGAAATGGTCATTTTGAGAAAGACACTCGAAAAACATGATGGAGGAATTTGAACCTTTCACGGATTTGGACTTAAAAATTACTCTACTTGATCTATTAACGATTTGAACCATATAGGTTACTTTAGTTTGAATCAAGTTTTAAGTGCCATAATACGATAATTTCACAGTAGATTTTACTTTAAAATGATCAATTATAAAAGCTAAAAAGAAAAAGTTCCATTATTTTTATGACAGCAATACAGAGCAGAACTAATTCGCAATCATCAATTAGATAAATATGCTTCTTGACGATTTTTCCCACAACATTATTATAGGCGTTATGAATTATGATCCGTCAATGTCCTAGAAGATGGATCAATCTAATCGGATTTAACGTGCTCTCAAAAGTACTGAATCAAAGGACATTGTCAGAAACGGCCTTAGATTCCTGGGCACAGCTGTAAAGTATCAAAATTAATCTCTTACTTTTTGAATACATAAATATTAATTAGATTGTAATGGACACTTGAGGATTAGAAAATGAAATAATAAAAGTCTTTTATATGTATTCCATAATACTATGACGACATCCGGACATTTTAGGGCGTGGCCTGCTCCATATCCTATGAAGTTCCATAATTTGTGTCGATAAAATCTATGTAAAATCGGCACAAGGCAATGCCGTACTTCATTGTTAGGAATCCACGTAATAGTGATGTTGACTGCGGTCATCATAGACAATAAGATACCGATCTTGTAAATAAAATAAATCGTCCAAATTGCTACAGTATGACTAGATTTTAATTAAAAGTTAAAAATATATTGCACGATACTACAAGAAGCTATCTAATGTGTCCAACTGGTCTAAAAGGTCATGAATAAAATAAAAAGAATTGTTTCACGACTATAAAAAGATTTTAGCAATTTAACTCACAAAATCAATTGCGCACATTTAAATAAAGTTTGTTTACACTTTGACAGCAATAGACTGACATGCAAGGTGACATGTCAATGAAGTTTTCAGTTACTGTTGCCATTAAAAGAAATTAGTACCATTAGTTTTCCGCAACATGGCGAGGGTTTTTATGTTCCTGGTCAGGCTATACCTCTAAGACATGTAGGTAAAAGCACCTTAAAGGCAAAATTGTAAATTTTTTAGTAAATATTATTTTATTTTGAATTTTCTTAAGTAACTGATGATTTGTAATATCTACTATTTCAATAGTTTATCTACATTGATGAATTGTTGTGTCGTGACCTGAAGGTAATTGGCGTGTAGAGTCACGACATAATTGAGACTTAATTGTTGACGGATGGAGGAAATAATAAAAAGACGAACAAAGGTGTTGTTTACCTTCATGTTATTGAAAAATGTTAATGGTCCTAACTGCTTATAATAAATGTTGCCTTTATAATTTGAAAAATGCTAATTAGTATTTTCAAGTAGGAGCCTACTTGAAAAAACTGTTTGAGATTTTAAAGGAACGCTCATTGCTCCCTCGTTGTCGTCGTCGTTTTTCAAATGAACGTTTTTCTGTCTCTGTTTTTAGTTAGTAAGGTGATGAATAGGTCAATGTTACAAAAAATAATACACCTAAGAAAATAAATGCAATATAAGTACTAACTCTACAAACTTCTTTATCGCTATATTTCTCGGAGAAGTATAAACTACCTAAACACTGTGATAATTTTAATGAGTGAGTTTTTGCAACAGAAATGAATAACGGAATATGATAATAACTTTATGGGGTCTCTATAATAATAATTAACAGAACTGTATTCAACCTGGAGGCAACCAAAGGCTACTGTATATAATTTTTTTCTTTTTTCCCGTCAATCGCGGGACCGTCCGATAGTTTGGATTAACTAAGACAATCTTATCACAATGGTCTCTCCTCTAGGATACTGATAACATAGCTTGAACTAAAACTTACTCACCTTAGTAGTGATGAAGAGCTCCTCCCTCTTCACCAAGCCTTTCTTGATAGCATCAGCTACTCCTTGACCAACCTGCTCTTCGTCGCCATACACAGCTGCCGTGTCTATGTGCCGGTACCCCGCCTCTATGGCCCAGAAAACCGCGTCTCGCACTTCGTCTATTGGTGCCTGGACGAGATATAACTGGTTACTAATTGCTAATTGCTGATAAAGTCCCTGATAGTCTATCAAGAACTTCGTCAGATAAAGAACGTCTACTGCTAGACACAGGACGTCCACTGCTAGACAAAGAAAGACCACTGCTAGACAAAGAAAGTCCACTGCTAAACAAAGGACGTTCACCGTTAGACAAATGACGTCCACCGCTAGACAAAGGACGTCTACCGCTAGACAAAGGACGTCCACTGCTAGACAAAGAATGTCCACTGCTAGACAAAGTCCTCCCTCCTGAGTGGCCGGTTGGTAGAGGCCTGCATCCACCTTTAACTTAGCTGACTTCGTAATTTATTACCCAACTGCGCCAGAAGAAGGGTCATGTTTTTATGAACTTAGCTGTTAGATAAACTACAAAACGATTGATTTTACAGATCGATCTTTTGAGAGATAGATGAAGTCAGCATTAACCAAAACACACCCTCCCGCAACGCTCTACTACCGCAAGAAACTACCCAGTCAGTTATGCGCTATCCCTATAAAATTCACCTTGCATACTAGAATTTTAGCGTTATTAATTTATATCTGAATCAAACTAGAAACCTTTACATTTTATGTTCAAAGAAATGGAACAAAAAGCGTGTAGCATCACGTCGCTGGCGTATAAAATTGTTTGTCTACTAAGCTACAAAGACTGTAGCTAATTTGTAATGTAGGTACCTATTCGTTTTTAAACTTAGCTCGTTAACTTACCGCCCCAGCAGTGCCTCGGCCGGTTCCCAATGCCACTACGGGAATCTTGTGTCCATCATTCAGGTCTAACGTTGGAGCTTTCCCTCCAATCACCATCTAAAACACAAACAAAACACAAGAATTACAACGAAAATTGATTTTTGAACCTATGAACTCCAAAATACTGGAAGTTATTATTTTTAACTAGGTACTGGAAGTTAAAAGAACTGAAGGTACTGAAAATATAGCACGAACATTGTCATTTTATTCTGACTGAAATAATGAAAAAAACGTTGTGTAAAAACTTGCGTAAAATCGACTGCGAATCGAATAGCGAACTGTAATATTCACCACGCCCGTGTTAAATTAATTACTTACTTATTACAATTAATGTTTTATAATAATAAATATTTATTATTCAGAATAAAACAAGATTGATGTTACAGTAAATGTTAGTAAAAACTTGATGTTCCATTGCAGGAAACAACGTTTTTCTGAGATTTATCGATCCAACTAGTTTTTAAATAAAACATCAATTAAAATAAACTTCGCTTGTATTTTAATTAATCTTGCTTCACTTCCTTAACCAGTGAAACAAGTTGATATTTATTTAAACTAAATAATAATGAAAACATCTGTTGGCCGGCACTTTCAAAAAAGACCCAAAAAAGACCTTTATGATTCAAGTTATAGGTTCAAATAAGGGCAACATAAACATTACACGACAAAAATTAGTTTGAAATTAACATGTTTAAAATAATTAGAGCAGCACAGAACAATCCAGAGAATCTCTAAACGCAAAAGTCTGCAAACTGTTACTAGATCGGAACCTACATAATATTCTGATTCTGCCTTCACTTTGACATTTAGGTCTATCCAGTTCACATAGAATACTCGTACAAAAGCCTTAAAATATTACATAAGGATGCTTACTTCTACATACAAAATCCCTATCACAATATATCTTTGAAAAAGAGAATCAAACTTCAAAGAACAAGTTCCTTTTCATCTTAAAGCAGTACTATAAAATAATAATATTACTTACAGTCACAAAGCACGCCAGTACAGCCACTCGCCACATGTTCGCAGATGGTAATGTCACAACATACTACATTATGTTACACAATGTACACTCGTAAACCGGCTGTAGCCACTACATTCATCTAGACCAGGGTTTCCCAAACTATGTTAGGTTAGGTTAACTATAACACCGACCCAGTGGTGGGTCGCGAGCGAACATTGAGTGATCCCTGTCTGTAAAACGTCACATCACCCTACCGATCCAACCACAGGGCAGCGGGTGAAATTTCCTATAGGTGGGTCCCGAGTTCGGGAACTTGTATTAGATGAGTCGGAGCCCAGACAACTTTGGGAACCACTGATCTAGACGTTATGTATTACGTATGTGCTCAAGTTTTATCACTATAGCCCGCGCCAATGAAAACTTAGATTTATGTTGCTTGAAGCTTTGGTATCAGTGTGTATTCCAGGTTCATGTGATAAGATTGTCTTGAATTGTTAATTAACGTAAGTGATTAAGCAATTAAGCATATGTACTTATTTTGCATTTATCTCCTTACCTTGTGATGGATGTTTTAGCAACTTAGGTACGATTACTAACTCTACCTTTCTTGCTTGCTGGGTCGACAACTCTTTGGTCGACACCCAGTCAAATTAGAATAATACAAAAATAAAGGATCACCGTTAAAAATATTTTATACCTAAACTGTAAATATGCATAAGAAATATCCTATTTCCAATATCTTGGTGAAAATGTTCTGTAAACATGGATATGAAAACTTTTATAAGAAATGAGAATATAGCTAGTAGGCCAGTAGAATTAGCTTTTAAATCGGAAATAATTCCTACAAAAGATTTTATTGCTTTAATGGCTTCATTGATTGCCCATTAAGACTCTCCTAGGTTTTCGACTTCGACGGAGTTGTGCTTAAGTGGTGGGGGCCCCCGAAAGGGGCGCTTTTTCGGTTTTCCGGTTATACCGCGTAAAAGACTTACCCTATCGAAAAGTGGTCTTCCTGACGGTTGAAGAGCATTTAATCCTGCATTAAATAAGACCAAATTCATATGTTTTGAACAAACCGTTCTCGTTCAAATGTTCGGCAAAGTAGAAAATATGTGTATAATTATTGACCCTCTCCACGTCCAATAGCTCGTCACCCGTAGGCTCCCGAGCCTTGTAAAGGGTCGCCCTTACCAGCGTATCCCTGTCAAGGCTCACGAGTTAGATTCGCTTATCCTTGTTCGTCCCAGTCGTTCCTTAACTGCGGTTGCTGCACCTCTTCCTGGCACTCACCTGAACGACTCTGTGTTACCTACTGTGGCTGCCCCTCTTCCTTATGCCCTCCTGCACGACTACGTTGCATAGCCGTATGCCTGGTCTAAGGTTCGACGCTATAAAATCAACTTCGTACGCGTGAAAATAGTTTAAATACTATTTTCCATGCTTGCAACATTTTTCTTTACTGCTTCGCCTCTATTAGTCGTAGAGTGATTGTATATATCCTATAGCCTTCTTCAATTTATGAGCTATTCAACACAAAAATAATTATTTCAATCAAAGTAGTAATTCTTGAGATTAGCGCGTTCAAACAAACAAACAAAAAACTCTTCAGCGCTTTAATATGAATTTGTTGTTGTTGATTTTTGGCGTCGAACCTTAGACCAGGCATACGGCTATGCAACGTAGTCGTGCAGGAGGATACAAGGAAGAGGGGCAGCCACAGTAGGTAACACAGAGTCGTTCAGGTGAGTGCCAGGAAGAGGTGCAGCATCCGCAGTTAAGGAACGACTGGGACGAACAAGGATAAGCGAATCTAACTCGTGAGCCTTGACAGGATACGCTGGTAAGGGCGACCCTTTACAAGGCTTGGGAGCCTACGGGTGATGAGCTATTGGACGTGGAGAGGGTCATTAATTATACACATGTTTTCTACTTTGCCGAACATTTGCAA